AAATGTGTAACATGTTATATAAATTGTATATTTACTACATTGAATTAATGCCTCCCCTGATGAAAGTCATTATTTGTAATAGATGACAAACACTAATGATATCATTTTAACCAGACCAGGCCCTATGATTTTTCTCTTTCATGAGTTTTATTTGTAAAAACTCTGGATTCTCTTATAATTCTTGTACTCCACTCTTCTTTGTGTATGTGTTGGATCTTTATATAAACGCCAATACATCTAACTCTTTATCTCTCTACCGCCGCGAATATTCTGACACACAATAAGGGTCAACTTAAACGCATATCCAGACATACCCTTTTCCGTTTGCATAACATGCATATTGAAAGGCTTTGTATAAGTTGACAAGCTTTTTTTTGTGGAGAAGTGGAGACTCAAGAAGCATATGAGAACTTAAATCATCATTTTTTTTATTAAGAACTTAAATCAACTTTATGCAACCATTGCGTCTACATTACAGCTATAAAAGAGACTATACATTTGATGAATAAGTTAATACTCATTTACATATGTAATAGAAAGTCCCACATTTCTGATCATAATTATTTGCTGTTTAACAATTAGCCCATTAAAAATATGACAAATACTTAATTGATCTTTTTTTTATTAGCTTATGTTTATGATGCACAAACACGGACACAACAACATGGATACGACATAAACACGGGTTGTACACTATATTATAGTTTTTTTATTTTAAAAATAGTGAATAAAAATTAAATAAGTATAATTTTACAAATAATTTTAAAATAATTAGTCATTTAACTAGAATTTATGCTTAAAATGATTAATATTAAGATGTCGAGAGTCGGGCTTTGATATCATTTATTAATCATCGAGATATGATGTTATGCAGTAAATATTGGGCGTCAATGTTAAGAGGGTGTTTATCATCGATATTGAGAGGGCGTTGGTTGTCGATTTTGGGAAGGCGTTGGACAAAGATGAGATGTCAAGTTGTGGGTGTAGAAATTGCTAGCATCGAGCATCAATTTAAAGACACCGTCAGACTTTGATATGAAGATTGTTTTGAAATGTTGATGCTATAACGACGTTAGATGTCGATGTTGAGATGACACCGGGCATTGTTGTGAAATCAAAGTTGTAACCTGCCAAAAAGAAATGAAAATAAAAATATTTGATGAATGAGATATTAAGTCTGGGAGATTGATTTGATGTTGTGGATAGAAAATAAGAAATTTAGTTTTTCTATTTTAAATAAGCCAAAATTTAAAATAAAAGAAATTATTTTTAAAAAAAATTCATAAAATATTTAAGATACGCGTGTCATTCACACGTGCCCAATTTGCATTTAATCTTTTTTTAATCAAACATGTTTTTGACATGTCCGACACGTGTCGGATGCGTGTCAGATACTGTACGCCTCTTTGAGAAGAAGTGTCGATGCATCATAGGCTTATGTCGTCTCTCATTTATGCTCTTGAATAAAATTAAATCAGTTATGTGCAGCCATTGCATTCGAATTCCGATCCTTGAAAAAGTAAGAGTTGGTACCTTCCCAAAATTTAAAATAAAATAAAAATGAACGTCTAGAAAGAGAATGGTGTAACAAATCACATCTAATTTACACCGAACATAATCCCATATATTTGTCTATGAGCACTTCTTTCCTAATTTTAAATTTTAGTCCAACCCCTTTTCTTTGTCTCATGATATTCATTTGTAAAATTCTTATAATATGCTTAATTGATCATTTTATATTTTAGGTGTTTGATAATAGAACCATAGAATTTTAAGGGACTCAATTGCCTTAAAAGCTATCCATATAAAATCCTAACTCTTTCATATGATTAGTTTAGAGCTCTGAATTACTTCTGAAAGAAATCTACATGACATATTTTCATCACATTCTCTCCTCTCACCATCCTTCAACAGTGTTAAACTTAACCCATCCAGTAGGAGGTCAATCTCAACAAAAAGAAGAAGAACTGCACTGAACTTTTAATTCCAATTTTTTAATCTCTAGAAAATAAAGAGAAGACATTTCACCATGATAAATCATTTTTATGCTGTCTTTGCAAGAAGAGAATAAGGTTTTGATGTTTTCTAAAGATATACTTTGAAATTATTTTCATTTTTATTTATATCTAAACGTCTGGTACTGAATAAACTATCAATTAGAAGCTTTCACGATGCGTATGCTGAGCACCATGCAAATCCTATTAAAGACTTCTATTAGAAAATCAATACAAAGTAATTATCTGGACATATAACAAATTTCTCCTCTTACTTAACACATATCAGAGCTGTGTTACAAATGATTCATTCTTCAATAATAAAGAAAGACATCTCAATGTTTCTAACACATCTTGATAATTGTCACTTGTCAATATTAATATAAAATATCAATTTTTCTCATTATATAAACTAAATGCTCTAGGCATGATTTTATTAAAATTTCAATACAATATAAGGATAATTTTGATATAAATTCTAAACTCCTCAGATATTTAAAATGAAGAGGTAGTTGAATAATAATTTTTTGGGCATCACTCTTGACATTAATGTGAATCTCTGTATCTAATATATTGAAAAGAACATAAGACAATTTCAGGTTTATGTCCCTAAAATTAGAAGCACTGAAAAATATAGCAAAATCAAAAGAAGTTAACATTTACACAATAAGATATACTTCAAGATTACAAAACAAGCTTTTAACTTTCACGACTAACAAGACATTGCAGCTCAAAGGAACCAGGAAAGACCAAAGTAGGAAGATAATAACAATTGTCTCACAAAAATGCTCATTAATAAAATGAGTAAACTTTGGATGATTGCAGAATACAATTGTGATAACTAATTGTCTATGGAAAACTTCACTCATGAGCTCATGTAGGCGGGATGAAAGTCCATAATATCTGCATCGACATGCATCTCTTCACACAAATCACATGAGTGAATTTTTTTATCTAAAAATTTACTAAAATCTAGTTCAGTTTGCTGTCAACGACTCTTAAAGAGATCCCATCAGATTATCTTGTTAATAAGTGTGGCAACATACGATATTTGGATGACTACATTTCTGTCATCACAAATAATATATAGCTAACAGATTATGAAATTTATGAATGAAAACACAAATTGTCAACCTAAACACAAGAGTGCACTAAACATAACATCTTTAATAGTTAAGTAAATTGTCAAAGTTATCATTTTCTAGTAGTCAGGCAAAGCTAGTGAGCGAAAAATAGTTATATCTAACAGGTGAATGAAGAAGACATATTATTAAAATTAAAGTCTCAAACCACAAATTCTAAGCCTATTTTCAAATATAAAACAGACCAAGATATATAATTTAGCACAATGATAGTATTTCATAGAGAGTATTGTTATTCATTTAAAGAGGAATCAAAATAGTCCTATAGTGTGACTATCTTGGTTCCTCTTTAAGGAGTTGATGGACTGAACTGGTCCTTTATCGAGTTCCGGTACCTAGTGGTATGGAGTTTCGGTACCGAGTCGTATCCGATACGTGTGTCCTATCAAATTTAAATATTATTTTAATTGGACACGACAAAGTTGTATCTGACACGTATCCGTGCCGTATCGGAGGCGTATCCAACGCATATCTGAAACAGCATGCCTCGTAAATAGGAGTATCGGTGCTACATAGTTCTTTAATATAGCCGAGGACTATTTTGATATTTCATAAAGAGTCAATGGATCATTTTGATCCTTTTCTCCATAAAAATATGAACAAACAATTCAAATTGGGAATCCATTTCAAGATACCTAACTCTCTCTCTCTCTCTCGCTCGCTCGCTCTCTCTCTCTCTCTCTCTCTCTCTCTCTCTCTCTTTGTGTATCTCTTCGACAAGGTTTGGAGCACCGTGAGGCATAACTCTCTACTTCTTGTCTATCGGACAATGTCATAGCGCTACAACCATGGTTTAAAATTGCGCATTATGAGGCTCGCCTTTGCGCAATTCCAGTAAAAAACGCCTCGATGCTTACGCCTCGAGTTTTTTTTATGAGGCTTGAGCCTCAATTTGGTTGAGGCCCGCCTTGAAGCCCGCCTCGCCTCACTGGCATGAGGCTTACGCCTCACGCTATATATATTACAACTTACATAAATATTGAAGTAAATGCCCGACATTGGGCTCTATAGGAGAGGAGGAAGGGGAGAAAGCAGTTCATCATAATGATGATTCAAATGAAGAACTCCTTAGTGATGACAGTGCTGATGACTTATGAGTTCTTATGTGATATGTCATTGCTATTTATTTTTGGAAATTAGAATTATATGTTAATGAAAAGAATACTGGGATTTGGGAAAGATAGAATTTTGAGTTGAACTATATTTCATGTACTATATATATATATATATATATATATATATATATATGTATGTTGCTCGTGATTTCCTAACAATTAACTTAATAGAAAAAATCTGATTTCCTTCAATTGAAATCAGATTTTAATTTAGATCTGATTTCCTGACATCATTCACGTGAATGCCATTTATATGTTCAGCTATTATTTGATGAATGATGCCTTACTAATTGTTAGAAAATATGCTGAATAATATGAGGAAATTGCTACTGAAGATAACTTGCAAATAGATCTATTAAGCATCTAACATGATAATCTTATGATTTCATTTCTTGAGATAAAGTCTAAGGCTTCATATGAGGCAATTTTATTATTTTTTTAGAAAGTAATTTTTTAATAAAAAAATTTAATTTAAAACTATTTTAGAAAACAGGAAAAAAATTGTTTCAAACGAAAGTTTAAATTACACAAAATTATAATCATCATCATAATCAGGCTTCTCCCAACCATTTGGAAAGACTTTGTAAAACTATTGTGATAATGTAATCTCTAATATTGCTTAAGAATTCTATTCTGATTATCATTTATTTTTGAACTGCATCACGGCAATAATGACTTCCGAGCTCAGTAACTGAGAGCTTTTTATTGCCTACTTTTAAGTTTTAATAAACCCAAGCAAACAATAAGAGTACTTGAAACAAAAGCATAACGCCAAAATTATTCGGTTCAACAAACAAGTTGCATAAATAAATTCCAAAACATTACGATGAAATACAACATGATAAACAGTAGAAAACATGAAAGAATTATTATTCAAGCATTGTAAAACAAGCTAGGACCATTTCAAAATAAGAGAAGGCAACAAGTAAAAATATCAAAGATTGATGGGGAAAGATCAGTTGCGGTCGTCAGTGATTTTATTGGCTTTCCTCTTCCCATAGTGAATCCCCGAGTTCTGTCGTGCATCCTTGTTCCAGGAGAAGCTTGTTTGATATTGTTCTCACACAGTACGTGGCCAATCCTTGGTGTTCCTTGTGGAGTTCTGGATAAAACACCACGTCCGTTGTTATTTTGAACTAGGCCAGTTAATTAGTTTCCCTTGTCCCCTTCCACGTGCATTCCTTGCACCATTTTGATTTTCACCAATCTGTGAAGAGAAAATTCACTTTTATCATGAATTCAATTTGCAATTAAATGTTAATATGATGTTACAAAACAAAACACAAAAAAGCTTACATCCTGTTGAAGTACTTGCTCAATTTTTTGGAAGATTCTAATTTTTGAGAGAGGGGAGACTGATCATCCTCCGAGTTCAAGTCAAAATGATCATGATCTAACATTTTGCCTCTGATTACTGATCTTGGCTGTAGGAAAAAATTGCAATAGTTGTAAAACTTGATGAAACATTATTAACATACTGTCTCCTATTTATTTTTAAAAACCATTTAAAGAAAAAGTGAAACACTAACATGTCAATTTTAAAGTAAATTACCGTGCATTTAAGCAATGATCTCACACACAAACCTTTCCTCCAATTGCTCTCATAATTTTGCTTCTCTACCTGTATAAATTCCATGCATTCTCTAAGTTATCTAAATAAAGCAGAAGCACTTATTTGAAAAAAAAAAAAACAAATGAATAGTGAAGAAATTAAGGTGAGGGCTTACGGCCTTATCTGCTTGAACAATTGTCTCAAACTCCACAAATGCATGCAACTATATTACAGAGAATCATGATAATTTGGTGAAAATAATACAAAATATACAATTTATGTTAACTTCAAAACTATCAGAATTGATGTCATGGAACTTTTTTCTACTGTGAAGAAAGTACCTTGTTACTAATTATAACGACAGTCTTTGAGGGCCTAGTTGAATTAGGCTCTTGAGGATGACATATTCTGATATTCTTAACACTGTTACATATAATAAATAACCTCGTTATTTCATTAAAATGTCTCCATTTCTTCATATTTTTCATTGAAATATTAGCTAAAACCTTGTTTTTCAAACCATCCAACTACGCTGATGAACTTCTCGATGTTTTGGTGTGAGCTGTCCTCTGGTAAATTTCAACTACAACAGTGCGCTTACTATAAATGAAAACAAATATATCAAAAAAATGAGTAAGTAATTAATTATAATACTATTTGCTAGAGTTTGATGTCAACAACCATCTGCTCCTTCTTGGCTTTCTCTGTAAAGAGTTTCTTGCTCCTCACTTTCTTGCCATCTTCAATCACCACCTGATTTAACAAAAGAGAAAAAAAGAAGAAGCATTGACATTATCTTAACAAATTATGGGAACCATAAAAGGAGGTTTAGAGGAAATTTACAAATTGTGATGATGTTCTAAGAGCTTTAGCAAGCATCTGATTGTTAACCCCGAGATTTTTTATCTTCTTCCAAGAGGCAATAATAGACATTAGAACTGTAAGAAAAAATACATATGAGAGTTAAGAATGTATATCAATATACTTCTTAAGCTAATTACTATTTATTTGTAATTTTCGTACCATATCCTTCAGGATCTTTGTTCTTAATCTTCACAAGTAAATCGCTAAAAATCAAATTTGCATCACTGAATTGGTATTCAACATGATCATAAGTCATTACATAATCAAAATAATTAGAACTATATAAAATTCTACAGTTTGTCCTGTTTTTGATAAAAAAAAAAGCTCAATTAAAACGGGAAAAAAAATCAAAATAGGAGGATATGATACTTAACAATACAATATAAAGTAGAATGCAATTTCGTATAAGATTTTTTGATGCAGTTGAAATCTATAATTTTAAATATATTTTATCCAATAATCTGAATCGAAGTTGAGCGTAATTGTTAGAAGACAAAAACAAAACTCAATGATGCCACATCAGCTATTGTATTATATTGACCAATCACCATTGTACACGTGTACATACATTTAGTCTATTCTTTATATATATTCGTTCTTGTGCTGTAACAGATATATGATGAATAATATTGCTCTCTACTCAAAGCTCATCTTCCTCATCTTATTTTCTTTGTTCTTGTTCTTGAGAAGTCCTGTAGTTCTTTATGATATTAGAGCGGGCCAATCCTGAGAACCATCCATGGCCAACTCAGCTTCATTGCAAATAGGAGATCAATTTGCTAGCGTCACAGAGAACTCCGGTATTCCTGCAACCTTGAAATTTGTGGTTTCTAGTTTCAGAATCCTCAAATTGTTTCGGGCGAATGGGTTTGAATTTTTTTTTGAATATGTCATCTCGCCTCCATCTTCACAAAGCACTCAATTCGACGGTACAATGGCGTCGAACCCTGCATACACTCAATGACTAGTCACATATCAAAATCTGTCTGCTGCAATCTACTCTACGATATCTTCCTCGGTACTACCTTACATTTTGCATCTTGAATCAACGCCGAAAATTTGGAAGGCTCTTGAAATCCGGTTTCAATCAACAAACCGGTCCAAGGTTATTCAGCTCAAGAACGAGCTGCATAACGTCTCCATGAAGGTGCTATCCATGACACAATATCTGACAGAAATAAAGACGCAGGTAGATTAAATAGCTGCAGCGGGATCGACTGTTGACATAAAAGACATAATTATGTACATCTTGAACGGACTTCCACCACCATATCAAACTTTCAAGACTTCAATAAGGACAATGCTCACTCCTATCGGTCTTGATAACCTATACACACTTCTAATAATTGAAGAAATTCATGTGAACGCCGAAGCTGCAAGAATCTTCCCCAGCACTGAATCTCACACAGCTTTGTACACATCCAGAGGAAGAAACAAATATAATCGAGGCCGATTTCCGCAGAACACAAACAATAATACCAGATCTCTTCAGCAACTCGCTCCTATTTATTAAATTTGCAACAAGAAAGGTCATACTACATCAGTATGTTGGCATAGATTAAATATCAACTACACTCCCCCGTCCTCATCATCCAATCCAAACAAAGCCATGGTAGCTACCTTCAAACTGTCTATGACTGACTGGTACTTGGACTCCGGAGCATCATCACATATGACAAATCTTGTTGAGAATCTTTCGCATTCTATGCCTTACTATGGTCCTGACAATGTAACCATCAGAGACGGTAGGACGATCTCGATTGCTCTTTTGGGCACAGTTCTCCTTCCAACTCTATCGCGTAAGCTTCATCCATCTCATCTCCTGCATATTCCTACCATCTCTAATAAGCTTATCTCAATTTCCCACATGGTTAAAGATAATAACATTTCTATTACTTTTGATCCGATGGGTTTTCTCTTTAAGGATCTGAAGACAAATCAAATCCTTCTCAAAGACTCATGTAAAGATGGATTGTATCCGCTCACCTCTAATTTTTCTTTTTCGTCGCTTTCAACCCTTCATGCCATCAGAACCGTCTCGGACACCTGGCAAAATCGTCTTGGGCATCCTCATCAAAGGGTGCTTCATCTTATTGCCAGAAGTCATCCACACCTTCGTATACTGAATTTTACTTATGTTTGTGTCTCTTGTAAAACTTGTAAGGGTCACAAATTACCTTTTGAAAAATCTCTAAATAGAAAACATATTCCTCTAGAACTTAAACACTCAGATGTTTGGGGACCATCTCCGGTTACCTCAAATCAGGGTTTTAAATACTGTCATTTTTGTGGATGATTTCTCTCGCTTTATCTGATTATTTCCCATCATGAATAAATCAAATGTTACCAAAGTCTTCATAGACTTTAAATCTTTATTGAAAAGCAATCCTCACACAAAATAAAGGCTATTAGAACTGATGGCGGACTTGAGTATATCAATCAACTGTTCATCCATTTTGTCCGTTAAAATGGTATTCACCGCCAAATATCTTGCCCCTACACCCATGAATAGAATGACCTAGCTGAACGTAAGCACAAACACATTCTAGATACTGTCATGACGCTTCTACAAATGGCTTCAATCCCACACAAATACTGGTCTGATGCAGCTTTAACTACTATGTATCTTATTAATCGCATGCCTTCCATCACAACCAATAACATCTCTCCACTTCAGCTTTTTTTCACAACATTCAACCATCATACTTGCATTTAAGAACATTCGATTGTGAATGTTTTCCTCTAACACCTCGCCATATTCGCTACAAACTTCAACCAAAATTCATATCATGTGTATTCCTAGGCTACTCGGATACATACTAAGGTTACAAATGTTTGAATCGGGAATCCAACACCATATATTTTGCGTCATCTCACCTTCATTGAAGATTCATTCCCATTTCAACAGTCAGTTGACCTGCCAACTATTCCTTCTACGTCTTCTTCGCCCCCCTTTCTAGTACCCATCTCGCACTCCTAGACTTCTCAAAGTGCTCCTTCTCGTCCCTCTTGTCCGATCTTCTCCTCATCCGGCCTACAACAATCCCCTCAATCATCCATTCACAACATCTCTACTGATGATATCACTCCACCTCAATCACCCAATCAGCCAAACAATTCTCCTCAGCCTATACGACATCCAATGGTAACCAGATTACAAACCGGTTCGCTCAAACCCTGTAACCGTCTAAATCTTCTCCACAAATAGTCCTCCATCTCTCCTCAATTTGAACCAACTAACTACAATGATGCTCTTAAAAGTTTTGAATGGAGAGGCAATGGCTGCATAATTTTTTGCCCTTCAAAAATAGGGCACGTGGACTCTTTTCTCTCCACCTCAACATGCCTCTATTCTGGGTTGCAAATGGACATTCCGAACCAAACTTCATGCCGACGGCACTATAGCAAGGTTTAAAGCTCGGCTCGTTGCTCTGGGAAATTGGCAAGAGCACAGCATAGACTATGCGGAGATGTTCAGCCCCGTAGCGAAACCCCTACAATTAGAGTTCTACTTACAATAGCCTTATATAAAAATTGGCAAATTCAACAACTAGATGTTGCAAATGCTTTCCTACATGGTCATCTCACCGAGACGGTCTACATGCGTCAACTAAAAGGCTTTGAGAATTCTTCTCATTCGAATCATGCTGTCTTCTTCATAAAGAAATTTATGGGCTCAAACAACCTCCACGATAATGGTACACAACTTTCACCAACTATCTAGTTTCTCTCGGATTCCAACATGGCAAGGCAGACCTGTCCTTACTAACATTCACTCAAAATCACACTCAAATATACTTACTAGTGTACGTCGATGATATTCTGTTAACCGGCAACAACCCCGCGCCATTTCCACTCTAATTGGACAGCTAGAATCACGGTTCACAATGAAAAACCTTGGTCTGGCAAACAACTTCCTTGGAATCAAAATTCAATCATCTCTAGATCAATACTTTCTCTCGCAGAGCACTTATGACAATTTGATTCTTCAGCAGACAAATTTAACTCAGTGCAACCCGCTATCAACCCCTATGTGTACGAAGATACCAACAAACATTAACCCTGATACACAGCTCTTGGACCCAAATTGTTGACTTAATAAAAATATTTATTTTTTTGAATAGATGCAAAGTAATGAACTTGCCTTCGAGCCGGTCTCCCTTGCACGATCTCCCCAAACAACGCACTTCTTTGCTTCTCTAACTTCCCACACGGTACAAATCCTCCCCAAAGACCGCTCATTTGAAATGATTCTCGCTATTCTTCTGTTCAGTTGGAACTTGGAAGCAAAGATGAGAGGGGTCTAGGGTTCGCCTTTCATCTTCTCTTTTCGTCATTGCTGTTCGGTTTCGTTGCTTCGCAGGAGGCGAAGAGATTGCTCGAGTCGCTTCTTCGACTCGTTCGTTGATGTTCGACTTCAAGTCCTTCGCAGGAGGCAGAGATCGCATGAGTCGCTTCTTCGGCTCCTCCCTTGCTGTCTGACGTCGCTTCGTAGGAGGGCCAAGATTGCACGCGTCGCTTCTTCGGCTCCGTCATTGTTGTTCGGCTCCTTCGTTGTTGTCCGATTTGTTTCCTTCGCAGGAGGTGCAGTGATTGCATGGGTCGCTTCTCCGGCTCCTTCATTACTGTCCGACTTCCTTGCTTCAGGAGGTAAAGAAATTTTACGGGTCGCCTCTTCGGCCCCTTTATTGCTGTTCGGCTTCGTCGCTTTGCAGGAGATATAGAGATTACACGAGTCGTTTCTTTGACTCCTTTGTTACTGTTCGACTATGCTCCTTCGACGACTACCATGGCCGAACCTGACCCAAGCCCGATCAGACCTCTCTTTTTCTCTCTGTTTTATAATATATTATATAATGGATATGTATTATATTATATATAATATTATATGTATTATATAATATTATATATATGTGATAAAGTGAAATAAAATAAATAAAATATGAGAGGAAGAAAGATTTTTTTTTAAACAGGTGTTGAATACCTGCGCCATTGACCTTAGATCCGGCCAAGAATGCACGATTTGAAGACCCGCGTCGTTATCTTAGATCCAGTCGGATGGTTTTAAATTTGAAGCCTCCGTGCCATTGATCTTAGATCTGGGCGGGATGAAATAAAATTCGAAGACCCCACGCAGTTGATTTTAGATCCTGGTGGGATGATTTTTATTCAAAGATCCTATGCCGTCGACCTCAGGTCCGGATAGGAAGAAATTACAGCATCATAAATGAAAGTTCCTGGATTCA